AACATCGACCAATTCTGTTTGGTACAGTGACTCTGTGTATTCCTTCCATCTTCTTTTGATGTTTCCTGCATCATTCAATATTTTGTCCATAGAATCTTTCAGTATTGCAACTCAAGGCTTGAATTTTTTCTTCAGTTCTTTCAGCTTGAGAAATGTTAACCGTGTTCTTCCCTTTTGGTTTCCTAACTCCAGGTCTTTTCACATTTCATTGTAATAATTGACTTAGTGTTCTCAAGCTGCTCTTTGAAATCTTCTGTTCAGCTCTTTTGTCATTTCTTCCATTTGCTTTAGCTACTCTCTGTTCAAGGGCAACTTTCAGAGTCTCTTCTGACATCTGTTTTGGTCTTTTCTTCGGTTCTTGTCTTTTTAATGACCTTTTGCTTTCTTCATGGATGATATTCTTGATGTCATCCCACAGTTCCTCTGGTTTTCAGTCATTGGTGTTCAGTGCATCAAATCTATTTTTTAGATGGTTTTTAAATTCAGGAGAGATATAATCAAGGCCATATTTTGGCTCTCATGGACTTCTTTTACTTGTGTTCAGCTTCAGTTTGAACTTGCATATGAGCAGTTGATGGTCTGTTCCACAGTCAGATCCTGGCCTTGTTTTGCCTGAAGATATTGAGCTGCTCCATTGCCTCTTGCCACAGATGTAATCCATCTGATTCCTGTGTACTCCATCTGACAAAGTCCACGTGTATAGCCATCATCTGTGCTGTTGAAAAAAGGTATATGTAATGAGTAAGTCATTGGTCTTGCAAAATTCTATCATGTGATCTCCAGCATTATTTCTATCACCAAGGCCATATTTTCCAACTACAGGTGATTCTCCTTTGTTTCCAACTTTTGCATTTCAATCACGAGTGATAATCAACACATCTTGATTGCATGTTTGGTCAATGTCAGGCCATAGAAGTTGGTAAAAGTCTTCAATTTCCTCATCTTTGGCTTTGGTGGTTGGTGCGTAAATTTGAATAATAGTAGTATTACTGGTCTTCCTTCTAGGAGTATGGATAGTAACCTATCACTGACAGCACTGTACTTTGGGATAGATCCTGAAACATTCTTTGTGACAGTAAATGCCACCCATTCCGCTTCACTTTGTCATTTCTGGCATAGTAAATCATATGGTTGTCTGATTCAGAATGGCCAAAAACAGTCCATTACAGCTCACTAATGCTTAGGAGCTCTGGTAGCATAGTGGCTAAAGCACTTGACTGCTAACCAGAAGGCTGGCGGTTCAAAGCCACCAGCCACTCCTCAGAAGGAGGGTTGGGCAATCCTACTTCTGTAGTGATACTGCCTCGGAAAACCAAGGAGGGATCGCTATGAGTCAGGGCCAACTCAACGGCACATAACAACAACAACAACAATGCCTAGGATATCTATCTCTATGTGTTCCATTTTATTTTTGACAACTTCCAATTTTTCTACATTCATAATTTATACATTACGGTTTCAGTTATTAATGGATGTTTGCAGCTCTTTCCTCCCATTTCGAGTTGTGCAACGTCAACAAATGGAAGTCCCGAAAGCTTTACTCCATCCACATCGTTAAGATCGGCTCTCCTCTAAAAAGGCAGCTCTTCCCAAGTCGTATTTTGAGTGCTCTCTGACCTGAGGGGCTCATCACTCATTGGACAGTGTTTCAGGGCTATTCATAAAGTTTTTCAGTAATATATCAGACACTAGGAGCTCTGGTAGCTTAGTGCCTAAGGCACTTGACTGCTAACCAGAAGGTTGGCACTTCAAAACCACCAGCCACTCCTCAGAAGGAAGATGGGGCAATCTACTTCCATAGTGATACTGCCTCAGAAACTCAAGGAGGGGTCGCTATGAGTCGGGTCTGACTCAAGGGCACATAACAACAAGAACAACAACATATCAGATACTGTTTCACTGCTATTCATAAGGTTTTCCCTGGTCAATTCTTTGAGAAGTGGATGGCCTGTGCTTCTTCTGAGTCTGTCTTAGTCTGGAAGCTCTGCTGAAACCTGTCTTCCATGGGTGACCCTGCTGGTATTTGAAGTACCAGTGGCATAGTCTTCAGCCTCACAGCAACACACAAGCCACCACAGTAGGACAAACTGACAGATGAGTGGTGGTAAGATTTATTATACATGTATAGTGTATGGTCTTTTGCTACCATTATTTACAGTGTCTATCTTAGTTATTCAGTTCTGCATAACAAATTACCCAAAATTTAGAGGCTTAAAACAACAATAACCATGCACTATTTCTGCATAATTGTTGTGGGTGAAGAACTCAACCAGAGCACAAACCGGGACAGCCCATTTTTGCTTAGCCAGATGTGAAAATTGGTTCTGGAATCCTCTGAAGGCTGGTTTACTCATGTGTCCACCAATTGATGCTGGCTGTCACCTGGGAACTTGTCTGTGGCTGTCAACTAGAACACCCACACGTGGCCTTTCCATGTTATCTGGGCTTCCCTACAACATGATGGCTACATTATAATGGCAAGAATTCCAAGAGAAAAAGAGGGAAAGAAAGACAAAGCACCTAGCCAAGTAGAAGCCCTGTTACCTTTAAGCTAGCCTCAAGCGGCAGCGTCACTTCTGCTGTATTTTATTGGTTGAAGTGATTACAACATTCACTCAATTTTAAATGGAGGAATGCAGACTTCACCTTTCAATGGAGGGAGGTCTGTGTCACATTGTAAGAAAAGCATGTGAGACAGGACAAAAATTGGTATGGCAATCTTAGGAAATGTAGGTGGGTATAGTGTGTTTTCCACATTTAAGAAATTTGTCTTCTTCTATAAAATTAACTCCTGTCATTTACCTTACCTGGTAGCTAACCAGTTATGATACCCAAACCTACTGCCATCAAGTTGATCCCAACTCATAGCGACCCCCATAGGGTTTCCAAGGCTGTAAATCTTTACAAAAGTAGATTGCCTCGTCTTCCTTCTGTGGAGCAGCTAGTGGGTTTTGAACTGCTGACCTTCTGGTTAGCAGCCAAATGCCTTACCCACTGTGTCACCAGAGCTCCTAATCAGTTATGATAAAAACCCAAATCCAAACTCACTGCCATCAAGTCAATTGTGACTGATAGTGACCCAATAGGACAGAGTAGAACTGCTCCATAGGGTTTACAAGGCTGTAAATCTTTATGGAAGTAGACTGCCTCATATTTTTCCTGTCGAGCAGTTGGTGGATTTGAACTGCCAGCCTTTCGATTAGCAGCCTAATGCTTTAGCCACTATGCCACCAGAGCTCCTTAATCAGTTATGATAAGGTATCCTATTTTCTGTCATTAGGAGGTTGAGATTTTTACATTGACAAGATGATGAAAGACTGAGACAATGATATAGCTATTCTTAGAAAAAGGAAATTATTCTTGAAAACGTAATTATTAAAATACATCTGTTAAATAAGCTATTTTAATTAATAGCTTTAATGATATTTGGAAAATGCTTTCATTAACAGAACTTTTTTTCCTTCCTTTATGTCCTGTGTGCCTCGGAAAGCCAAGGAGGGGTCACTATGAGTCGGGTCTGACTCGATGGCACATAACAACAACAACAACATTATGTCCCTTTACTTTTTTTTTTTTAAGTTTTATTGTGATTTGAGTGAAAGTTTACAGAGCAAATTCATCCTCCATACAGCAGCTCACATACACTCTTGTTTCATGGCAGTGACTGCAATCTCCCACAATGCAACAGTTCCCCTCCCACTTCCTCCCCATAGCCAACTCCTCGCTGGGTTCTTCCTTCCCATGCACTCCTGGCCCCAGGGCTATCTCCCTGTGTATACACAGCCCTTCTATTCTACCATGATTGATCTCTCCAAGGAGTGTATTTACCTCATGTAAATGGTCAGTTCATATGTCTGTCTTTTGTTTGGCTGGAAGCCACAAAAGTGGGTTCAATTCCAGATCTGAAGGGCAGATAAGGGCCATAGTCTCAGGGGTTCTACTAGAGTCTATCAGACCAGCAAACCTGGTCACCCTCCCCCCCTTTTTTTTAATGACTTTGAGTTTTGTTTCATTTGTTGTTGTTCTTGTTATGTGCTGTCAGGTCGGACCCGACTCATAGCGATCCCTCCTTGGGTTTCCAAGGCAGTATCACTACAGAAGTAGATTGCCCCATTTACCTTCTGAGGAGTGGCTGGTGGGTTTGAACCACCAGCCTTCTGGTTAGCAGTCAAGTGCCTTAGGCACTATGCTACCAGAGCTCCTTTTGTTTCGTTAGCAGTACATTTTAATATGAGTAACATTATAGCGCTACCCAGAACTCCCTAACATTGTTAACACTAAAGTGCTCAGTAAAGGTCTACAGTTCAAACCCACCAGCTGTTCTGCAGGAGAAATATGTAGTTGTCTGATTCCATAAAGATTTACAGCCTTGGAAACCCTATGGGACAGTTCTGCTATGTCCTATTAAGTCTCTGTGAGTTGGAATCAAGTCGATGACAATGAGTTTGGTTTGGTTTTATGAACATTGTGTTTATAGAGTAAAACCTGTGAAATCTAGAACCTGTTTAAACTTGGAAACCTGTCAGAGAAGGAAAATGCAAATATTTTCAACTAGTAGACAGCGGTGGAAAAATTATAAAACCGTATCCTGTCAAAGGCAGAAAACTTACAAAACCTGGAAAAATAAGATAGTCCTGTTGAATACTGGCTATCATCCGTTTCACTGTAGTAAGTACTCTAGCCAAGTTACCTAGCCTCTCTAAAGCTTCAGTTTCATCTGAAACATGGGAAACAAAACTGGCATCAGGATTAAATGACTTGATATATGTAAAGTGCTTACCACAGAGTAAGTGCTAAAAAAAAGTTAGAAAGTATATATGGATATGTTAATGGTATTTTGCAGATGTGCTTATGTGAAGAGTCATGATATTTAATTCATGTCTAAAAAGGTACTTAAAATGTAAAAGAGTGTGGTTAATAAATATATTTTGCTAAGCTGTTTCATTTGGGAGGAATATATTAGATTGCTTCTTAATTTGATAACTATTTGCTTTTTCTAGTTTGAAAAAGAAAAACAACATGATATCCGATCATTCTTTTTACCAAAACCGAAGAAGAGACTGTTGGTGACCTCCCGTGATGAATCAAGAATATTCCAAGAGGAAAGTTCTGAAGAGATATCAGGACCTAGAAAAACAGCTGCAAGAGATATCATTGAATATGAAAGTGATAGTGAACCTGAAGCTAAAAGGTTGAAATCAGTTGCTATCCAGGATTGTGGCTGTCCCTCAGAGGAGAAACCATTCTGGCCTGGAAAGACCAAAGCTTTGCCTGGAAAGCTTGGAAAGTGCTTCCAGGAAGATGCCCCTGAGGCCAAGTCCCAGCTAGCCACCAAATCCCTTCCTGGAAAGGCCTGGCAGTGTGGTTTCTGCACTTATATCAATAATTCAGTGTTAACTTATTGTGAAATGTGTGAGAATCCTCAAGGCAGTGCTGGTGAGTACACATGGGTGACCATGGCTGGGGGGTGGGTGGCAGTAGGGTCTTCAGATCACCTTGGCACTTTTTAGAGAATGACTGCTATTTTTAAAGATTAGTGTGACTCGGTGATTTTAGCCTTTAAGCTGGAGGAAAAACTTCACATAGTGAAGACTGAATGTATCCCCTTTTGGAATGTGAAATCTCCCCATTCTGTCAAGAATGTATATCCCCAAGCGTCTGTAGCATGGCATTAATTTGGCACAAATGGACATTTCTGATTAATGTCAGCAGGATGTGAATTCAGTGGGTAGGAATAGAAGCTCTGTTGCTATGGCGACAAATATGCCTTCTAGTCATGGACCTGCTGTTTTCTTTCCTCTGTAGATATTACTTGTTTTTAAAGAAATTAAGGGTGATTAAAAAAAAAAAAAAAAACATTTAAAAAGAAAAATAACCCATGGTAGTTTCTTTCCCTGGTAAATTTACACTGTGCCATCTTTTTTTTTTTTTTTTTAGATAAAAAAATTGTAAAAATTCCTGTATAGATCTTTTAAGAATGGGGCTTTGAACTGGTTAGAACTGATTCCATTATGGCTGATGAAGTGAAATTGGAACAGACCCCAGTTTTTAAAATTTGGGTGAAATGGAATGATAACCAGAATGGGAAACATTACAGATAGAAGCCCTGAAATGGGAGACTCCTTTCAGGAACCCGATGGGGGAGATTGGAATATTGCTAGGATGAGGGAGAACAACACACACAGTTCAAAGCAGTGCAGTTGGTCACCATCTTTGAGCAGGGCACTGTTGTTTCCAACTCTGCTGGTCAAATGGTTTGGTTGCTCTGCAACACATACATTTGTTTTCTAAGAGGGAGGTAAGTTTCTAGCAGGACCTTGACCATAATTTTTCCTATTCCAGTTATGTTTCCTGTTCATCCACATTTTACAAACTCATGTCCATTCTTTGTTTTGCTTCATCAGTCATGACTGCCCCAAAAAAACCAGTTCAAACCCCTGTTTGAGAACCAATTTGAGGTGTTTCATGAATTTATTCTTTTCTAAAACATACTGTTTAAAAAGTAAATTATACATTTTTTGGTATGCTTTTATAACATGATATACCATTTGATGATGTTTATTTTCTGAAATTATTATTAATACCTATTAATAATTAATAGCATGTTTTAAGAAAATTATTAGTAGTATTGCTTTTTTTTTCCATTGTTACTGATCATTTCTGTAGTAATGAAAAATGCCAAGTTGATAGGTTTGGAAACTGGAAGGAAGTACTCATTTTATCAATGATAATAACTGTACATGTCTGTTTTTCAGTCATACTTTAATTCTCCAGAATATTAACAAAAGACTCAGCTAAGATATAAGTTCTAATATTTTAATTCCTGCCTGCCTGCCTTTGTTCTCCTCTCTGCCTTAGTTTGGATCTGAAGGAAAATATAATTCGTAGCTGAGTCTTCTCTTTCAATTCTGGGTGTTCTTACCAAAATCGACAAGTCTGCCATCTGGGTGGTTATATTTGTAATGTGGGCACCTGTTGTCTATGAACTGAATTGGAACCACATGCTTGTGCCATATAATATCCTTGCCACAATTAGCATTATCTGATTCAATTCCCAACTGCCACAGGCAATAAAAATAAAGTTTCTCGTGACTATAAGATAATGTCAGTTCACATTGAGTACATAAGTTGAGTGATACAGCAACAAAATCATAGTTTAGAATGAGATTTATAGTTCTGACTTTTCCTTTATAATGGCAATGAAACACTGAAACTTTCTACAGTCATGATTTAATAAGCAAGCAGTCAAGCATCTTAAACAAAAAAAATACCTTTTGTGAATATGAAACAGTTTGATTAAAGAGGAAAAATATTCAAAACAGTCATATTACTATATATAAAAGTTGTAATTATTGCATTTGTTACAATTTGGCATCATAATTTCCAGCTTTGCTTTGAACATACTCCTGAAGTATTGAAAAGCAGAATTAATTCTAATTCATCTAAATTTTTTAACAATGCTTGCCACCATATAACACTTGAAAGTATGGAATCCAAGAATTTAAAGGAGTAGTGCTAGGAAATTGCAGTCCTGTAAAGGTAGTTATTCCAGTCCGTGATGCATTAGATAAAATTTGGTATAGTATGCATTGGTTGCTAATATTTGGCAATATGTAACACTTCTTGTTTGCATTTTGTTCATATCTTAACATCTGTATTTATACTTAACCTCTTATAGAGCATGTCTCCCACATTTTTCTTACATGGATTCCAGACTAGATCTACCAGCAGCCTATTTAATATCTCCCCCTAATATTTGATTGGTATTTCAAGCTTAACTTGTCCAAGTGGAATGCATAACCTCGCCATCTCTACATCTAACACCCAAATCTTCTCCTCCCCTGTCTTTCCTACATCAGTTTGAAAACCTCGTCAGTATCCTTGATTCCTCCCTTAGCTCCCACATGCAATCAATTAAGAAGTTCTGTTGGTAGAACCTCCGAAATACATCTTGATGCCAGCCTCTTTATCTTTATTGCTGCCATCTGACATGAGGCCACCATCTTCTCTCTCTCAGATCTGAGTAGCCTCCTTATTAGTCTCCTTCCTTCTCTTTTCCCCTTGTGATCCTTTGCTACACAGAGGTCAGAGGGATCCTTAAAAAACTTGGCTCATTATTATTTCCTTACCTGATACCCTCTAATGGCCTCAGTTACATTTACACATTGTCCAAGACCAGGTTACCTGCATTCATGAATAGCTTTCTGCTCACATGGCCCTCCTTCAAGAGCTTGGCCCTGATGACTTTTGCTACACTAGTACCTCCCTCCATCTCCTTACTCTCAAAAACGCCCTGTTTTGTTCTCTTTATCCGAAAAGACCCTATTTATTTATTAAAAGAGCCCTGGTAGTTCAGTGGTTAAGTGCTTGACTGTAAACCAAAAGTCAGCAGTTCAAACCCAACAATGGCACTGTGAGAGAAAAGACCTGGTTATCTGCTCCCATAAAGATTACAACCTAGGAAACCCTATGAGGCGGTTCTGTTCTGTCCTGTAAGGTCTCTATGAGTCAGATTCAACTCAACAGTACTCAACAACAATATTTTTTTGTTTACCTGTTTCTTGTCTATCTCTGCCAAATAGAGTGGCCTCAGGAAGCAGGAACTTACCTGTCATGGTCCTTGCTGTTTCTCCAGCACCTAGCATAGTGTTTGGCATGTAGTAGACTTCCTAGCTATGTGGTTTTTGTTTTGTTTTGTTTTAACTTTCCATTTTTAACTAGGCATAGAATAAATAATAGCCTTCTCTAAATTGAAGTGTAAATTGTTTGTTTGATTTTTTTAATTCTGCAAATAGGTAGCCTCAGCCATACCCAAGGTAAAAACAAAAATGAGAAGGATGATTCTCAGAAAGACACCTCCAAAAAAATTGGAACTAACTCTGACTGTGAAAAACAAGTCCTTGAAGAGTCAGTACCTGAATCATTGCCCAAGAATAAGGATGAGCCAGCAGAAATTGAAAGGGAAGAAGGACTCACACCCCAGCCAGGTAATGGTAAGTCCTGTTTCTATTTCCACGGTGCCCAAATAATAGCCATGTACTTTAGTGCATAGTACTTCCATTAAAGCTTCCTTTAATACCTTTTATATTAAAAATGCCAACTCTTTGTTGGCATCAGATGGCTGGATGTCTGTTGCCATTCAGAAATTACAACCAGAGAAACAATAAATAGCTGCCTGTGCTGCCAACCTCGTCTTTTGCTCAGCCCCAGCCAAGCCCTACCCATTCCTGTAGTGAGGGTGCTGTTTTGATATTTGGGAGTTTCTTTTGGGCAAAATAATAAGTTTGATGGATTATTCACAGATACTCAGTTTTTTGTTTGTTTGTTTGTTTTTTCACTTTTTATTGTGACTTGGATGAAGGTTTGCAGAGCAAATCAGTTTTCCATTCAACAATTTGTACACACTATTGTTTCATGCCATTGATTACAGTCCCCACAATGTAACATCACTCATCCTACTTCCTCCATGTTCTTCATTTCCATCCCTCCTTATATCCTATCCCTTCCTGCCTTCTGAACTTTGTCCTTGGGCAGATGCTGCACTTTTAATCTTGAATGGTTGGTTCTGTGGAGGGATACATCCCTAGTGTTATTGTTCACCTTATAGACTTGTCTATTGTTTGGCCTAAGGTTGAGCCACAGGGATGAGTTCAGTGCCAGGCTTGAAGGGTGCCTAAGGGCCACAGTCTTGGGTTCCACCTGTCTCCGTCTGACCGGTAAGCTTGGTCTTTTTCATGATTTTGAGTTTTGTTCCACATTTCTTCTCACTCTGTCCAGGACTTCCTACTGTGATGCCTTTCAGAACAGTGAGTAGTGGTAGCCAAGCATCATCTAATTCTTCTGGTCTCAGGGTGGTGGAGGCTGACGTTCATGTGGTCCATTAGTCCTTTGGACTAATTGTTTCCATGCATCTTTGCATTTCTTCACTCTTCTTTGCTCCAGACAGGGAGAGACCAATAATTGCACCTTAGATGGCCCCTCACAAGGTTTTAAGATCACAGTCAGTAGTCACCAAAGTAAGATGTAGAACATTTTCTTTGTGGACTGTTAGCCAATTGACTTTGATGTCCCCCAAGACTAAGGGTTCTGAGCCTCTTAGTTCAGTGACTCATTTCTTCAAGGTGTTTGATTATGCCTACAAAATTTTCATAACTTTGCCCCTTGTACTATGAGGGATATCATTGCTGGTGGTCAGATGGATCTTGACTGCAAACAAAGAATACCAGAAATATGTTTACTTGTGTTTTTTTGACTATGCAAAAGCATTTGACTATGTGGATCATAACAAATTATGGATAACATTGCAAAGAATGGGAATTCCAGAACACTTAATTGTGCCCATGAGGAACCTGTGCATAGATAAAGAGACTGTCGTTCAAACAGAGCAAGGGGATACTGCATAGTTTGAAATCAGGAAGGGTATGTGTCAGGGTTGTATCCTTTCACCATACTTACTCAATCTGTATGCTCAGCAAATAACCCGAAGCTGGACTAAATGAAGAACACAGCATCAAGATTGGAGGGACAGTCATTAACAACCTGTGATACACAGATGACACAACTTTGCTTGCTGAAAGTGAAGATGACTTGAAGCACTTACTGATAAAGATTACTGATAAATATTAAAGACTATAGTCTGCATTATTGATTACTCAACATAAATAAAATGAAAATCCTCACAACTGTACCAATAAGTAGCATCATGATAAATAGAGAAATGATTGAAGTTGTCAATGATTTCCTACTACTTGGATCCACAGTCAACACCCATGGAAACAGCCATCAGGAAATCAGATGTCATATGGCAGTGGGCAAATCTGCTGCAAAAGACCTCTTTAAAGTGTTGAAGAGCAAAGATATCACTTGAAGACTAAGGTTCATCTAACCTAAGCCATGGTATCTTCAGTCACCTCATATGCATGTGAAAGCTGGGCAATGGATAAGGAAGACTGAAGAGTTGATGCTTCTGAGTTGTAGTGTCAATGAAGGGTACCAAAAGTACCATGGACTGCTAGAAGAATGAACTAATCTGTCCTGGAAGAAGTACAGCCGGAATGCTTCTTGGAAGCAAGAATGGCCAGACTTCATCTCACCTACTTTGGTCATGTTGTCAGAAGGGATCCTTCCCTGGAGAAGGATATCATGCTTGGTAAAGTGGAGGGTGAGCAAAAAAGGAGAGGACCATCAACAAATGGATTGACACAGTGGCTGCAACAGTAGGCTCAGGAATAGCAAGGATTGTGAGGATGGCACACAACTGGGCACTGTTTCATTTTGTTATACATAGAGTCACTATGAGTCAGAGCTGACTGATGGCACCTAACAACAACAATGTGCTCTTAATATATTCATGGATATATTTACAGCATATGTAAATATATAGAGAGAAATATTCTTAGTCAAGGATATTTCTATATATATATTTATATATGTATGTATGTATGTGTGTATGTATTCGTGGATGTAGTCTCATTCACCTTCCCAACCTGTTCAGCTTATTCATCTATCTGTGTGCTCATAGATTATTGTTATTACTATTATTGCAGGATTGTGTGTATGTAATAGCATTTACCTCTGTTGCCTTTACCTTTTATGTTTCTCCCAGTGTCTTACTTTGTCATGATTACATTGTGCTGACCTTCCCCTTACTGCATATTACCTTCCCCTTCACCCAAGTTAGTATGTTCCCACCTTCTAGTTAATGATTTTCCCTTCCTTTCCCTCCCATCCCTGGTAACTATCAAAGAATGTTTCTTTCTCTGTGAGAACCTTTTCGTAACTTTTAATAATAGTTAATAATATTTGTCCTTTTGTGATTGACTTATTTTACTCAGCATAATGTCGTCCAGGTTCTGCCATGTTATGAGGGGTTTTGCAAATGCATTCTTAGTCTTATTCCACTGTTATATGTACCATAGTTTTTTTATCCATTAATCCACTGTTAGGCACTTAGGTTGTTTCTCTCTTTTTTCCTATGGTGAATAGTGGTCTGATGAATATAGGTGTATGTATATCCATTTATGTCATGGCTCTTGTTTCTGTAGGATATATCCCTATAGTGGGATTGCTGGATCATATTGTATTTCTATTTCCAACTTTTTTAGGAAATTTTCCACAGTGTTTGTACCGTTTTACAGTTCTACCAGCAGTGTATGAACTGCTCTTCCAGCCTCTTACCATCCTCATCAGCATTTTTTGCTTTTTGTTTTTCTGAACTTTGATATTAAGGCTAAGTGAGATGGTATCTCATTGTTGTTTTGATTTGCATCTCTCTAATGGCTAATGATCACAAGCATTTCTTTATATGTTTGATTGCCAGCATGCTCTAGTCCATCATTGCAGCTAGTGTGCCATTCCATCTCACCGAGGGTCTCCTTCACCCTTGTTGGCCTTCTGCTTCACCAAATACAAAGTTCTCCTCTAGCCGTTGATCCTCCTGATGACAGGTCCAAACCAAACAAGTCAGACAGTGTTCTATTGTGATCCATAAAATTTCCATTGGCTAATTTTTGGAAATAGATTTTCTTCTTAGTCTGTCTTAGTCTAGAAGCTCTACTGAAACTTCTCTACTATGGATGACCCTGCTGGTATTTGAAAAACCAATGTTATAGCTTCCAGCATCAAAACAAAACTACAAGACACCACAGTATGGCAAACTGACAGAAAGGTGGTGAAACAGACACTTAGCAGATCATTAATCCTTTACATATGAAATTCATTTAATTGGCATATTTTAAACTTAGGTATGTTAGACTTTTTTTCCAAGAGAATGTTTTTAAGGGATATAATGTCAAGGCTATAAGAATGCTGACTGCATTTGGAACCAAGCATATAGTGTTTTGGATTTCCTTACTATTTTGGTTGATTCCATTAATTATTTATAGCTATGAAGGTAAGCAAATGCCAGCCTATGTATTACCCTTGGTGGACCAGTTGGCAAAAGATTGTGAGCACTTTTGGATTATTTTCTTTATTACTTAGTGACCACAGATTACTTAAATCACAGATTGATATTCTCATTATAGCAAACCCAAAATTGTTGGGATGAGACTATTAAATATTGATATAATTTGAAGTTAAATTTATAGCTTTAAAATGAAATATTCATTTAAGAATTTCTGAGCTCAAGGCATCTTCTTTTCTTCATTCTTTGGCCTTCCCTTTCTCTGATTCCTCTAGGTCTTCCCAAAAATAATTTTGGAGTGAATCCTATTTATATCCCTGTTCATTTTAATGGCCTTTAAGTAGACAGTGTACATGTAGGTGGGGTATATGCACTTTTGAGTCTCTAGTTTCCTTGTTGGGAAAAAACTCCCAACTGCTGATGAAGCTCTTCTTGTACAATAGCATATGACTCAATGGACTAAACCTCAGACTGGGAATCAGGATCTGGCCATTTTCATTGATTGGCATGAGTCTCTCCATTTACGGCAGGGAAGTATTGGCTTGTTAGTTGTGAATAAATCCCTTGATGAAGACATCTGTCAGTTCATACTTAAAAATACTTGTCAAAAGTCAGTCACCTTTAGAAATTCTATTCTTCCAGTGAAATTTTGCCTTGGCCCTATCCATTTTGGGCAATGCCAGCGTCCCCTAATCCCCTACCTTTTTTCTGCTTCTCAAATCAGTGGACTGAGAACTCCATACAAGAGATATACTTCATATCTCCTACTAACATAGATTCCCATGAAAAACAACTAGAAAGAAGACAGAGAAGGTATACTGTGCTAAAATGTTTATCCTACCCACATACATTCTTTTAAAACATCAGTTCAATCAAAACTATAGTTTTGTTTTAATTTGAACTCTAGGGGTCTTGAAGGATGCTGTTGCTGTTATGTGCCATCGAGTCAAACCTGACTCATAGTGACCCCTCCTTGGGTTTCCGAGGCAGTATCACTACGGAAGTAGGATTGCCCAGCCTTCCTTCCGAGGAGTGGATAGCCATGTCTTAAAAGATGCATCATTAGAGAGCCATTAAATGACACTTCACAGAAACATGGGAAAGAGAAATGTTGTTGTTGTTGTTGTTAGGGGCCATCACGTCGCCTCCGACTTATAACAACCCTATGTACAATAGAACGATATGCTGTCCAGTCCTGTGCCAGCTCTACCTGAGTCCACTGTTGCAGCCACTGTGTCAATTCATCTTGTTGAGGGCCTTCCCCTTTTTGGTTGACCCCCCACTTTACCAAGCATGATATCCTTCTCTAGGGAATGGTCCTTTCTGACAACATGACCAGAGTAGGTGAGGCAAAATCTGGCCATTCTCGCTTCCAAGGAGCATTCTGGCTGCACTTTCCCAAGGACAGATTTGTTAGTTCTTTTAGCAGTCCATGGTACTTTCAGTATTCTTTGCCAGCACCACAACTCAAAAGCATTAACTCTTCTTCAGTCTTCCTTATTCATTGTCAAGCTCTCACATGCATATAATGCGATTGAAAATAACATGGCTCGGGTTAGGTGCATCTTACTCTTCAAGGGGACATCTTTGCTCTTCAGCACTTGAAAGAGGTCTTTTGCAGCAGATTTTCCCCATGCAATACATTGTCTAATATCTTGACTGCTGCTTCCATTGACGTTGATTATAGAACCAAGTAATATGAAGTCTTTGACAACTTCAGTCTTTTCTCTATTTATCGTGATTCTGCTTATTGGTCCTGTTGTGAGGATTTCTGTTTTCTTTATAAATATATTCCCCCAAAGTAGCTAGGTACAAAGAATGAATACCAACCAATTTGGAATTGTTCTCACAATACTTTTTATCAAAGAATTGACTTCTGATTCTTAAGCATTAACCATAACTCTTCAAATCTAAAGACATGTTGATTGTAAAATGCACTTATTGTATGTACCATTAAGAAGAGAAAACCCTGCCAATTCAACTATGATATAGTACTTCAGCAGTAGTCCAGACCAGATCATGCTACTACTCTCTGTTCCTTTGACATTTCCTTAATCTATTCAGAGGGATTCTATAGGTTCGCCTGCCTTCAGTTGCTTTGCTTAACATGTAATAGGCAATCTTTTTGCACATTGTGGTAATCAGATGTAAGATAGCTTACCTAATTTACAGGGATCTTCTTTCCTTAGGTCCCATGAAGTGCTTGGCTATTTCTTGTCAAGAAGATAAAAAAAATGTTGGCTATTCTTCCAATGATACATATTTGCTTCTTTGATATCAAACATATGCTTCTCTGCTCTATACCCCAATTTTTTGACATACATAACTTTTTAAATACAAAATCATAGTGAAAATTTTTGAGATCATTTTAAAGATAATTAAACTCCACCTGTGTACTAACAACAGTGCCGTGAGGACAGGATAACAGATAAGACTAAGCTAATGCACGCTCGGCGATGACAACTACTTCACAGTCTTCACCTGGGAACATTGATTGTAAGATTGGGCATGGTTATTGAGCCAAAGACATACCAATTTCAGAGATGTTCAAATGTAGAAAATGTTCACTTCTGAATTTGTGAAATATGGTAGTAATCCACAAACTAAGTTTGTAAGTTGACCGATGCCTTGATCAGAAAAATAATAATATGATGCCATTGGCAAGTAAAATGGAAACAAATCTTAGGTTTTCAGAGCTGAGAAAGTACTTTCAGAAATATTGCCGAGGTTATGAGCTCAGGCTCTGGATCCAGAAGACAGGATTTAAGTCCTCTTAGTAGCAGTGTGGCCTTCGGTAAGCTAATGTGCTTCAGTGTCCTTATCTGTATAATCACTACTTATTTCTGAGAGTTATTTGAAATATGAATGAATTAAGAAAAGATAATATTTGTACTTAGAAGGGTGCTTGGCACATCTTAAGTGCTCAGTAAATGTTAACCATGATCGTTATTTAGACCAGTTTGTGTCTCGCCCTAACTGTCTTGCAAAATATATTATACAGTGGGACTGAGAAAGGGGTTAAGGAAAAAGAGACAACCAGAAAGAAAGCTTGTCCACTCATCTCCTTTTGTGAATGTGAGGCTCCAAGGCATAGAGAATCAGGCATTTAAGTGGCTGATATAAAAGTATAGGTGTATTGCTGTTTTTAATCAATATGGTGGTATGCTTTCATCTTCAACTTAAATCCACTCTAGCAAAACAGATAGATTCTAGATTCCTTCAAGACTAAAATAACTAATAACAACTCTTCGTAGCAGGACATTCTCCCTTATGCCTAACTTGTATCATTTCTCAGCTAGTTCTGAGTCTGTTTATTTCTTGTTGGGGCATTAGCAAAAGTGAAAAGCAACTGATTACCATGGAAGAGAGTATGCAGTGACCTTTGTTGTTGTTAGCTGCCATTGAGTCAATTCCACGTGTGTCAGAGTTGAACTGTGAGCCTAGGTTTTTCACTGTCTGTCTTCCAGGGAGTCTCTGGGTGGGTTCGAACTGCCAGCCTTTCAGCTAGTAATTGAGCATTTCCACTAGTAGTTGAGCACTTAACAGTTTGCACCACGTAGGGACTCCCAGATGACCTACTGTGGCAGTTTTATTTCAAATCCACACACATGCTTCATCAACTATGTTGATTCTTTTAATATAGCTATTTCATCGTCTAACCTGCAGAAGATTAAAATAAGCTGTTTTGGAAAGAGCACACATAACTCTCTTCTTTTGTCTTCTTTATTAGAACAGGTGAAGAGTTCAGTGACTTTGCCAGTATATGACATGTTAATGTACCGTGCAAGTAAAAATACTGACCGGATTCATCTCTACACTAAGGTAAGCATCATGCAGATTCTGTAAGTTGAAACATAAAAGGCTTCCTTTTTACATGTTTCAATGGAGATATTTAGTTTTATTCCGTGAGATGGACTTTAAAGCCAATTCTCAAATACCTATATAAAATCTAAAGACAATGAGAGACCAGACAGTAGGGTGGTTAAGAGCACAGACTTCAGGGTCAGACTGCCTCAGTTTACATCTGTTATTTCATCTTGGACACATTCCTTAGTTGGTCTGTGCCTCCTTTACCCAGATTATAAAATGTAGAGAATTTTTGCAAGGACAAAACTAGCTAATTCATTTCATATGCAAAGCGTTTAGCACAGGGCCCAACCACAATAAGCTCTCAAAAGAATATTAGCTCCTGCACTGATAATTAGCAGCAACAGCAGCAGCTTTACAAAAGCCTAGCCATGTTGCGTGAACTCTGAGAGGCTTGAACCATGTGATTCCTCAGATTCCTGCTACAGCCTAGGTTAGTGATGTTCAGACTTTTAAATTGCAGAATCTCTTTGTTCTCTTGAAAATTATTGAGGATCCCCAGTGTGGACTGTATCTATTGATATTGACCTTATTTGAAATTAAAATGAAGACATTTAAAAAGCTCCATTTATTCATTTTAAAATAACAGTAAAGTAAAAGCAATAAAGCCTTTACGTATTTATATAAATAACATTTTTATGGAAAAGTATTATAGTTTTTAAAACAAAAATATTTAGTGAGAAGGGTGGCACTGTATATTTCTAGCAGTTGTCTTTAAAGCCTTACTGGAAGACAGTTGGATTCGCATGTCTGCCTCTGCATTTAATTTGTTGAGATAGCACAATGTCATGTAGCCTCTGGAAAACGTCACTGTACACTCGTCAGAGAATGAAAGTAAAAAGGCAAATAACGTCTTACTATTATTATGAAAGCACTTTTGACCTTGTGGATCCTCTTTTAATGCTTCTTATGAACCATATGAGAATCTTTGGCTGAGGTAAACTGGTGGAGGATTGGAGGAAAAATTTGATGAAAGTATGAATGCTTTGGTTTGGTCTAACTCAAAAAAAACCCAAAAAACCCAAACTTACTGTCATCAAGTCCATTCTGATTCATAGCAACCCTGTAGGAGCAGAACTGCCACATCTTTCTCCTTTCAGTTGGCAGCTGAGCACTTTAACCACTGCACTGCCAGGGCTCCTTTGGTTTGTTCTACAATGTCAAATTTATACTTTTATTTATAGCTGTTTAAAACTATGAGTCATCTAGTTAATGAAAGAATATTTTTTAAAAAAATAACTTGTGAACTGTATTGGAGCTGACCAGTCTTTCAGTGATAAGATTTCTGCTAAGCCAAATATAGATGAGGTGCTATACAATATTATGAGGAGGAGATGACTAGAATCTTGAATACCAAAACCCCTATGCAGCCTCAAGAATGGGGCCACACACTATTTACAATAGCCAAAAGATGGAAACAACCTATGTGTCCATCAACTGAGGAGTGGATATCCAAACTATGGTACATACACACAATGGAATACTATACAACCCTAAAGAATAATGTAGAATCTGCAAAACACCGCATAACATGGATGAACTTGGAGGACATTATGCTGAGTGAAATAAGTCAATCACAAAAGGACAAATACTGTATTAGTCCATTATTGTAAAAGTCAAGGAAATGCTTATCTATGGAAGGACATTTTCTTTGTTGGTTATCAGGGGTGGGAGGGGAGTGGAGGGAATACTGTTAGATAGATAGAGATAAGTTTTGATTTGCGTGAAGAGAAGGGCAGTGTACCAAATGTGAATGATCAATATAGTGGCATTGAGGAAGAGAAAGATATAGAGAGGTACATGCGAAGTACAGACAACAAAGATGAACCCTTTTGCGCATATAGTACGGCCTGGTCAGTGAAGGCAAACACAGGTATATGGGTGGATAGATGGGTGGTGGACAGGCTGAAATATTAGGTGTGTCTATGAAGTGGGGAGTGTACCCAAGAACATGTATAGGGTTGGCAGACAGTGGTCCTATAACTTTATGTGTATGATCTGAATTCCCAGGTGTATAATGGAGCTGACAAGGGGCAAAGTTGTAGTCAATGCTTGATCACAGCCAGCTACCCAGAGGGACCCATTAGTTGAACCTGTGGGCTCGGGACCATAGTCACAGAGGACATCAAGCTCAATTGGTATAACATACTACATAAAACATTGTTCCACGTCCTACTGTGGCGAGTAGCAACTGGGATCTTAAAAGCTTGCAAGCTGCCATCTAGATGCAACGATAGGTCTCTCCTCATCCAGAGCCAAGAAGCATGAAGAAAACCAAAAATTCATGGAAACAATTAGTCTTAGGCCTAGCGACTGGTACACCATCCGATCTGCAGCCTATATGACTGTGAGACCAGAAGAACTAGATGGTGCCCGGCTACTACTGTCAACCACTTGGAAGAGGATCTATGTAGGAGATACTGGATAGACAAGGAGAACAATGTGGAACAAAACTCAAAATCATTTGGGAAAAAAAAGGGGGGGGGGACCAGGTTTGCTGGCCCAGTAGAGCCTGGTGTAACCACTGAGACTATGGCCCCTAGATGCCCTTCAGGTCTGGAATTGAATGCATACCTGTGGCTTCCAGCCAAATAATAGACAGGCATATGAGCTGAACATTTACCTGAGGTAGATACACTCCTTTCCTTGGAGAGAACAAGCATGGGAGAAAGACGGATTGTTTATGCACAGGGAGACAGCTCAGGGGGCAGGAGTGCATGGAGGGATGGACACAGGGAAGAGGTAACTATCGGGAGGAAGTAGGAGGGGAGATGTTGCATTGTGGTAAATTGTGGTCAACGTCATGAGACAAAGTGTATGTGAACTACTGTATGGAAAGTGTATTTGCTCTGTAAATTTTCACCCAAATCACAATAAAAAGAGAAAAAAAAAAAAAGAATGGGGCCACAGCCAAGAGAGAGAAATACCAAGGACCAAACCAGGCCATAAGTAATGTTGCTCCTATAGGCTTGGACCCCATCCTACCATGTGGAGACTCTAGACGTGGAGAGCCTAATTGGGGGAATGCCAAGACATGGAACTCTGCTAGAGCAGGTCTAACTAAGTGCCTGAGCCAGGTCCCCAGCAGGGCCTGAAGGTCGAGAAGCCAAAGGCAGATGCCAGACAGAGCAGACTGCAGCAATTCAGAAGCCCTTGTGCACTTGAAGCTTTTTGCTCTGGACAGGGAAAGCTCTGCCTCATGGATCATCTGTCTCATCTGTGTTTTCCACCTTCTGGGTGAGAACAAAAAGAAAAACTTCAAACTTCTAGTGGAGGATAGTCATGCGTGCTGCCAAACTGCACTAACATTGACAGCCTCTCTGGCTCTTTTTCTGGCTCTGCTACCCAACCTTTGCAGCAGGGGGCACGTCATCTTCTTGAGGTCCCTGTTAATGGACGCTGGTACATTTTGCTGGTCCTTAATGACTATTCTAAACACTTACACATCCCTTTGCTATAAAATGTTATCAGTCAGTTAATTTTTCTAAATATGAGACACTAATCAAGTGAAATGTTAACATGTCTTTTCACAGCTATAGTAGAGTTTGAGATGAAAGCTTTCCCTTTTTTGCCTTAGAAGAGCTGAAGTAAAATCTAGAAATAGAAATTTGTCAGGGAGGGGGGTTTCAGTATCTAAAAGAAGAGCATTACCAGATGTTTAGCATCCTGCATCATAATAGCAATATAAATCTAAAAAACTATTCTTTTCAGCCAGAATCCCAAGTCTAACTCAGTGTTTACAATAGCAATTACAAATCTAAACTTGTAATCAATATATAAGAACTTTTTGTATGTTTCTTCCAAAGTGATTAAGGGAGCTAGAATAGTTCATTTTGGCTGAGAGAATTAGAACATGAGCTCAACTATTGCTGATGCAATAGATTTACATTGCACTTTTTACCCTCACGAAAAAAAAAGCCAAGTCCACTGCCATCAAGTCAATGTCAACACAGTGGACACAGAGTAGAAGTGCCCCATAGTTTCCAAGGCTGTACATCCTTACCAAAACAGACTGACTCATCTTTCTCCCCCGGAGCTGCTGGTGGATTCAAACCACCAACTTTTTGGTTAGTAGCCCAGTGCTTTAACCACAGTGCCACCAGAACTCCTATGTTACACTTAAGACTTCAGAATATTGTGCAGCTAATTATTGAGATCTCAATGAAGTTCTGCTCACCCTCCATTTACTTTCCATGTGCTAAGGATCTCAGGTCCTATTGGCAGTCAGTCCTCTTGGATACACATTGCTTTCGGGAAGCTAATGTTGAAATCATTTCTCTAGAATTTCTTTTTTGCCTTCTAGCTTCCATTGTTCCTTTAAGAATGAACAGGTTTGTCAGTCCTTTTGGGGAGGGTGATGATGCCCTCCTTTGATTCAATGCTGATATTTTCAATGACAATAAAGAAAATGATGTGTGAATTTGGGAGTGGTTGCACTACAGTTAATTTCAGGGATGTATTATTCTTCTGTTGATTTGCAGTATACCAGTGTACTGTTTGACACTTATTTTTAAATTGGGCAATAGAAAAGAATATGACAGGGCAATGTACACAGCACCCCAGGCTGAGTGCTGAAAGCTGGGGATAGGTGGAAATGTAAAAAAAAAAAAAAAAAAAAACTTTAAAAAATAGCAACCCCTCTTTGGGTTTCCGAGGAGGTATCACTATGGAAGTAGATTGCCCAGCCTTCCTTCTGAGGAGTGGCTGGTGGATTTGAACCACCAACCTTCTGGTTAGCAGTCAAATGCCTTAGGCACTACACCACCAGAGCTCCTAGGTAGAGACATGCAGGCTGTAATTTAGAGCCTACCTTCCCCACCTTGACTCAGCTGACCTTTCAGAGTAGCCATTTGGGGTAGACCCTTGTCTAGAATGTGTCAGCTCAGTTTATCATTAGGAAACTGGAAAATCTGTGCTGTCTGTTTCCTACTGCTGCTGTCACTGAAATACCACAAATGGGTGGTTGAAGAAAACAAATTTCTTTTCTCACAGTTGAGGCTAGAAGTTCAAATTTGGGTCACCACAGAGCTCTCTGTATCAACTCTGGGGAAAGAGCATTGTCTTTCTCAGCTTCTGTAGCCCCAGTGTTCCTTAGTTCCTGGGCAACCTTCATGTGGCATCTGTCTTCCCCTATCCCAACCCCATGTGTGCTTGCTTCTGTGTCAAAATCTGCTTTTTTTTTTTTTAAATAACATAGCGTAGGGTTAGGACACACCTAATGGTAGGGCCTCATTAACATAGCAAAGAAAATTCTATTCCCAAACAAGATTACATCCACAGGTATAGGGGTTAGGATTCCAACACATATTTGGGGGGGGGGCGGGACACATTTCAATCCATAGCCTATGCTATAATGTAATTATTCCTTTTTAAAATAATTGCTAGTGCTTATACAGGCATATAAGGAGCTCTGGTGGCATAATGCCTAAAGCATTTGACTGCTAACCAGAAGGTTGGTAATTCAAACCCATCAGCCACTCCATGGAAGGAAGATGGGGCAATCTGCTTCCATAAAGATTTACTGCCTTGGAAAACCAACAAGGGTCACTGTGAGTTGGGATCAACTCAATGACAGTGAGTTTGATTTGGTTTTTATACAGGCATATAGAGTGAACATTTATACCAGGTAGACACACCCCTTAGAAAGATCAATCATGGGAAAACAGAAAGGCAATATTTGTACAGGGAGATAGCTCAGGGGCAGGAATGGATAGGAAAGAAGGACACAGGGAAGAGGGAGGAAGTGGGAAGAGAGTTGTTCCTACAGGAAGGAAGTGGGAAGAGAGCTGTTACATTTTGGAGATTGCAGTCAATGTCATGAAACAAAATGTATATGGACTGCTGTATGGAAAATGAATTTGTTCTGTAAACTTCCATCCAAATCACAATAAAAAGTAAAAGAAATTGAATAATTACTAGTGCCTATAGACAAAAATTTATTAATATTTTCTTCCTAATCTATAATCAGGATGGAAAACAGATGAACTGTAATTTCATTCCTCTGGATATAAAAGTAGACCTTTGGGAAGATTTATCACCAAACTTTCAGCTAAAACAAAATCGTTCACTGGTAAGTATAGTTCCATGCATTGATTTTAAATAAAGATCTGTTTATTAATTTTAATGATCATGTTGAGATTAATAAAGCAGAACACTTCATGGCCTGTTGAAGAGTCAAGTCACTAAATGCATTTTAATCAATTCAGGCAGTGCTAAGAATAAATGTGAAATCTGTTTCCTTGGCAAATGATCACACCTAACATTGCAGTTTCTGTGGATAGAATCATCATTTAATTTCTCATTCACAAGATTAGCAGCTGTGATAATTGTATCTCACAGAATCACATTTTATCTTTTAAGGTTAAGCTCTAACAATGACACATTCTGAGAGCATGGATAATACCATGTCAGGTGACTTTCAATTCATAGAGTCACCGCTGAGCAGCCACAGGCGAAGTACACCCCAGGGAGGCCTTCATTCTGATCCACGGCCACTTTGCCTTCATTGCTGAGAAGGGTCAGTGTGCACAGGGACTGGCCCTGCATGCAGAGCACCATTTTTACAAGAACATTGCGACTATTATTTTCTCTTCTCAGTGGAAATGAAACATGGCCCATGGGTCAGCTGCACCTGTCCTAAAGGGAAAGGTAGCAGTGAGCTATTTTCTCTGTTATTATCTTACTCTGCCTCTCAGATTCCCAGAAAATAGCAGTGATGTGTAATTGACTGGTAAATAAGATATAATCAGTAACCAATTGCCATCAAGTCCCCGCCAACTCATGAAGATCCCCAATGTCAGAGTAGAGCTGTGCTCCACAGAATTTTCAATGACTGATTTTTTGGAAGTAGATCAATCACCAGGCCTTTCTTTCGAGGTACCTTTGGGTGAACTCAAACTCCAGCTTTTCAGTTAGCAGCCAAGCGTGTTAACTGTTTGTACTACCCAAGGGCTCCAGGTAAGTAAGATATGTCGTAAGATACGTTGTTAACTGCCGTTGAGTCAGTTCCAGCTCATGGCAACCCCATTGTTACAGAATCAAACTGTTCCATAGTGTTTGGTTTTTCTTTTCTTTTTTTCTTTCTTTTTTTTTTTTTGGCTGTAATCTGAACAGAAGCAATTGCCTGGCCTAGCTTCTACAGTACTGCTGGGCGGGTTCGAATCACCAACCTTTAGGTTAACAGTTGAGTGCAAACCATTGGTGCAGTGGTTAAAGTGCTCAGCTGCTAACCAAAAGATTGGCATTTCAAACTACCAGCCCTTCCACAGGAGAAAGATTGCATAAAGATTACAGCCTTGGAAACCCTATGGGGCAGTTCTACTCTGTCCTATATGGTCACTATGAGTCAGAGTTAATTCAACAGCAGTGGGTTTTGGTTTAAAGCTGTTAAGTAAGATATAGGTAACTTTAATGAAAATTTCCCATTTATTCATGGCTATTCTCCTCTGATAATTTAATCAGCTGGGTACATAGCAGGGCTGTACCATTCAATCTGGGCTGACAAAGTAAAATTGGAACAGACCTGAATTTTTTAGATATGAGTGAAGCAGAACAATAATCCAAATGGGAGAAGTTACAGGTCAAAGCCCTGAAATAGGAGACCTATACAAGGTGTAGTGAGCCTTGCAGGAACCTTATGTGAGAGACTGGATTATTTTCAGGACTCTGGAGAGCAACACACATGCTGTTAGTCACCATTTTTGAGCCAGAGTTGTTTCTGACTGCCAATCAAGTGATTTGGTTGCTGTGTACTATGCACACTGCTTGTTTCCTAAGAGGGAGATTAAGGTTCTAGCAGTATGTTGACCCATCATTTTTCCTGTTCCAATCCACCAACATTTTACAAATCCTAGACCATTCCAGTTTTGCTTTGTCAGTCATGACTGAACCAGAAAGAACCTGTCCAAAGCCCTGGTACAAAGCCAATCTCAGATGTGTCCTGTCACTCTGGCAGCACCATATTACCTGATTTCCCCAGTTTTGCCTTGGCCTCCGCTGGCATTAGTGCTCCACACAGAGACTGCTTTTGGGCTCAGTGAGCACGTTATCACTGTTGGTCCTTATGCTCATTAAGGGCATGTACTAGGGCCCCTGAGACTCGCCGTCTTTGAATTAATATGAGATCTTTTTGTAAGTGGCTGTAGACAGTTCACAACAAAAATATGAAACAGCATCAAATTAAAGGAAGATTTTTATTGGAAACTCAAAAACTTATTGTGAGAGTACAATAAACTTTGGTCTTCTGATGTAGACAGCTTGACTTTCAGAGAAAGATGCCTAATGACCTGCCACATCTTTTCATTATCTTATTTTCTGCTAGATTTTGAGGTTTGTTCGAGAATGGAGTAGTCTAACTGCCATGAAGCAAAGGATTATCAGGAAAAGTGGTCAGTTGTTCTGTAGCCCAGTTCTTGCTTTCGAAGAGATCACAAAGCAACAAACCAAACAGAATAGTACCAAAAGGTATGAATTGTCTATTTTTATTTTATTTATTACTTTTTGTGGTCATTTCTACAGGGTTCTGAAGCCTTTTATGTATTCGCTAATGAAATCCTGGTGAGTTAAAAAGAAATTATAAAATGACATAC